ATAAATATTATCTTATAAATTAAATTTAAAATTTAAGTTTTAATATTAATATATAAAAAATTAATTTTTTAAAATATATTACGTTAATGTAAAGATATGTTTTTAAAATTATTTAAAAAATTGATCTCAAAACATTTTGAAAATAAAAAAATAAAATAAAGGATGGTAAAATACAAATGGTGAATGGTAGTAAGTAGTGATTCGGAAATTAATTTTTTTAAGATAATTTTTTTGTATTATTGTTTTTTATAATTTGATGTGTTATTTAAATGATTAATTTTTTAATTAATGTAAAAAAATAAAATAAGGGATGGTAAAATACAAATGGTGAATGGTAGTAAGTAGTGATTCGGAAATTAATTTTTTTAAGATAATTTTTTTGTATTATTGTTTTATATAATTTGATGTATCATTTAAATTATTAATTTTTTAATTAATGTAAAATTTATAATATTAAATACATTTAGATACCTAATAATATATGAATATTATATAAAAAATAATATAAAAAAAATTATTCATGTACTTAATTCTTTTCCACCGACGGCGAGGGGCTCTATTATTGCGGCCTAAGATGACATAATGAGACAGTGTCGGGCATGGGTATGGCGCAGAACGAATGATTGGGCCACACAAATAGTTAAATATTATATTTTAAAATATTAAATTAAATTAAATTAATTTTTGTTTAAAAAAGTTAATAATTAATAATTATTTATTAATAAATTAAAATTAATTTACAAATTATTATTTTTAAATATTGTAATTCATCATTTATGAAATTAAAAACAAAATTTGTGTGGTTTTAACCACTGCCGTTGATAGTGTCATAAATAATAAATTTTGTAGAAAAGTTTATGAACAAGTAGAGGTTCAAAGGGGAGAATAATACCAAGTTGGACCACAACAGCGTGACCCCATCCAGCTCTTTCACCACCTAACCTCGAGGTGCGCATCTGGTTTTTGCTTTTCCTTAGGAAAGGGAGTGCTCGATCTCTGCTTTGAAGCTATAATTTTTAAATGGATTAAGAAAAAGACTCCCCCATATTACTTTCCAGCCACATGATGATTCAAATGATGCAAACCATGACTTCCTTTAATATGATCGGAGTTGGTGTAGTTGTTGAATATCCTTGAGTTCCTGCTTCAAGTTGATCCTTCTCCAAATGG